TCTCAAAAAAAAAAAAAAAAGAAAAATTACCTGGGTGTGTGGCACAAGCCTGTGTTTCCAGCTACTTGGGAGGCTAAGGCAGGAGAATCACTTGAGCGCAGGAATTCGTGGCTACAGTGAGCTATGATTGCGCCACTGCACTGCGGCCTGGGTGACAGACCAGGACCCCATCTCTAGGGGAAAAAAGTCAACTTCCTCCCTGCAAATAATAAGAGGCTAGTTCGACGAAACACCCATGAGTTCAGTGGTCACCCATATCCTACAGACAGACCTGCTGTAGGGTTCCTGAGTGAAACCACAAAGGGACGGGCAGCCAGTGCATCAAAGAAGGGCTTGGGACTCAGGTGACAAGCTTCTGTAGTCATGACCCAGCAGCAGTGTGCTTCCAAAGTTGGATGCTTTTGTGGGACACTGGACCAAGGAATAGGGAGCTTCTGAGAGAGTTTGCTTCCTGTGAAAATCACAACTTGTGAAACTTCCCCCAGCTGCTAGAGCTGAAGGGTTGTGTAATTTCTAAAGAGCCGAAAATAAGTTTCGAGCCTCTTGCCAAGCCTCCCTGTACCAGCATGACCTTGCCCCTGATACACTTGGACCTCCTGCAAGAGGCCATGGTCTCCGGAATTCCCTGTGATTCACAGCTGACAGCCAGGCGCTCCATAAGCACTTGCCTTTCATCTCGATGGAGCATACTCAGGGGATGGGGCCCTCCTGCTGGATGGGGTGCAAGAGTTAGGGTTTGAGGCTGGGCGTGGTGGCTCACACCTGTAATCTCAGCACTTTGGGAGGCTGAGGTGGCTGGATCACTTGAGGTCAGGAGTTCGAGACCAACCTGGCCAACATGGTGAAACCCCATCTCTACTAAAAACACAAAAAATTAGCCAGCTGTGGTGGCTGGCGCCTATAATCCCAGCTACTCGGGAGGCTGAGGCAGGAGAATCACTTGGAATCTGGGAGGCAGAGGTTGCAGTGAGCCGAGATCGTGCCACTGCACTCCAGCCTGGGCAACAAGAGCGAAACTCCGTCTCAAAAAAAAAAAGCGTTCGGAGGATCACCCCGGGATGCCGCATTTGCTGACTGAGTCGCCCAAATGTCTCTAAGTAGGCATGACTTAGTGCCAGATCTGGAAGACCAGGGTGGCTGGCTCCCTAAGCAGCCTCACCTTCCCCCTCCTGCGGGCTGGCTCTCCTGCCAGATTGGAATCTGCCGCCCTGCCCCAGTTGTCGAGGGATCTACTTCGTTGAGTGGCACCAGTCCCTGTGTGTGAAAGAGGATGCTGCTTCCTATCCCAGCACCCAGTGGGCAGGGCCCTGAAATGACCCAACCCCCTGCCATTCCTTTCTCAGCACGTCTGTGTCATGTGGCTCTTAATTCAGCCTCTGCCATACAGTTCACGCTCAGGCCTTGAGAGGCCCAGGTTTCCCCAGAGGTACAGTCAAGGTCATCTGTCATAGCTAGGCTTACAAAACAGAATTCCCTAATGGAGGTAGAGCTTCGTGCCCACCTCAGCATTCAGGACTGCACTGCCTGGCGCTAAGTGTCTGATGGATGGAATAAGAATCTTCTAATATATTAAGGTTCTGTTTAAAATTACCACAAGGCTGGGCACAGCAGCCCACACCTGTATTCCCAACATGGTGGGAGTCCGAGGCAGGAGGATCGCTTGAGCCCAGGAGGTTGAGGCTGCAGTGAGCCATGAACATACCACTGCACTCCAGCCTGGGCAACAGAGGGAGACTGCCTTGAAAAATAGTAAAAATAAAATACAAGATGTGGCTGGGCGCAGTGGCTCACACCTGTAATCCCACCACTTTGGAAGGTTGAGGCAGGCAGATCACTTGAAGTCAGGAGTTGGATACCAGCTTGGCCAACATGGTGAAACCCCATCTCTACTAAAAATACAAAAAAAAGCCGGGTACAGTGGCTCACACTTGTCATCCCAGCATTTTGGGAGGCCAAGGCGGGTGGATCACCTGAGGTCAGGAGTTCTAAACCAGCCTGACCAACATGGTGAAACCCTGTCTCTCACTAAAAATACAAAAATTAGCCAGGCATGGTGGCAGGCGCCTGTAATCACAGCTACTCGGGAGGCTGAGACAGGAGAATCACTTGAACCTGGGAGGCAGAGATTGCAGTGAGCCGAGATCACACCATTGCACTGCAGCCTGGGTGACAAGAGTGAAACTCCATCTCAAAAAAGAAAAAAAAAAATTAGCTAGGTGTGGCAGTGGGCACCTATAATCCCAGCCACTCGGGAGGCCGAGGTACAAGAATCACTTGAATCTGGGAGGCGGAGGTTGCAGTGAGTCGAGATCGCATCACTGTACTCTAGCCTGGATGACAGAATGAGACTCCATCTCAAAAAAGAAAAATGAATACAAGAGCCTTTCCCTGCCTTGTTGCTGTTGAGCTATTTCAATTCATTAACCCTCCTATGTCTTTGCAGACCTGGAGTGGAAGATCATTTATGTTGGCTCGGCTGAGAGTGAGGAGTTTGATCAGATCCTAGACTCGGTGCTGGTGGGCCCTGTACCAGCAGGGAGACACATGTTTGTCTTTCAGGTAAGAAAGATGAGGCCTTAGGCCTTTAGCTCTTGACTCCTAGAAACATCCTCTTTTACCTGAAATCCCACAGAGTGCTTCAGGAATCAAAAGTTCAAGTTCAGCTGGGCACAGAGGCTCACGCCTATAGACCCAGCTACTCCAGGGGCTGAGGTGAGAGGATTGCTTGAGCCCAGGAGTCCGAGCCTGCAGTGAACTGTGATTGAGCCACTGCACTCCAGCCTAGACAACACAGCGAGACCCTGTCTCTAAAAAAAGGAAAAAACAAGTATTAAAAAAACAGAGGCCGGGTACAGTGACTCACACCTGTAATCCCAGCACTTTGGGAGGCCAAGGTGGCAGGACTGCTTGAGGCCAGGAGTGTGAGAGCAGCCTGGGCAATATAGTGAGACCCCAGCTCTACAAAAAACGTAAAAATCAGCAGAGCATAGTGGTGTATGCCTGTAGTCTCGGCCACTTGGGAGGCTGAAATGGGAGGATCACTTGAACCTGGGAGGTGGAAGCTACAGTGAGCCAAGACCACACCGTTGCACTCCAGCCTGGGTAATACAGCAAAAAAAAAAAAAAAAGAAAAAAAGAAAAGAGTTGAGACCCTGTCTCAATCAATCAATTAAAAGAAAATTTTAAAGTTCAGGTTCAAATCCTAGTTCTACTGTCAGGAACTATCTGACCTCTCAGAGGCTCTCAGGCCGTCCCTTCCCCACCTCTGTGTCAAAGCTGTCACTGATTTACAGTCAATTCTCGTTATTCACAAGAGTTATGTTCTATAAAGTTGCCGCGAACACTGATTTAGTGAGTACTGAACCATTGCCCCAGGGTAAATACAAGGTTAGATTGTTGGAAGTCACGTTTTCGTCAGCCAGTCAATACGTAAACTTGTATGTGTGTTGCTGTTGAAAGACACCAGGCCGGGTATGGTGGCACACACCTATAATCCCAGCACTTTGAGAGGCTGAGGTGGGTGGATCGCCTGAGGTCAGGGGTTCGAGACCAGCCAGGCCAACATGGTGAAACCGTATCTATACTAAAAATACAGACATTAGCCAGGTGTGGTGGCGCTCACCTGTAACCCCAGCTACTCAGGAGGCTGTGGTGGGAGAATCGCTTGAACCCGGGAGGTGGAGATTGCAGTGAGCTGAGATCACACCGGTACACTCCAGCCTGTGTGATATAGCGAGAGACTTATCTCAAAAAAAAAGAAAAAAAAGACACCTTATTTAATATATACTGTGGTTCATTTATGTTGAATTCACAGCCAACAGCACTATAACTCTCCTGAATGAAGCTTCTCTAATATGCATTTTTTCCATAAGGCCTTTCTTGCACCCTACACTGCACTTCAGCACTACCTTTGGGTGCCATCATAGACAGCAAACTCACCAACAAAAAGCACAAAACATGGAAAAAAGGTAGCACTAAGTAGGCTGAGGAAAGGATGCTCATTCACAGTAAGAACTGAGACCAAAAGACAGAGCGTTGCCTTATTTGACCTCAGGTAGGAACAGGCGTGGTAGCTAACTCTAGCTTTTCCCTGTTCTGTGCATGTCTGCAAGTGACCGTGAAAGCACCGCAGGTATTCATCTTGGGGTTACAGATAAATGTAGCAGGTAGGTGAACTTGCACCTATGGACCCCATGAATAATGAATGAGGATAGACCGTAACTCCCAAGTGGATCTCATGCAGCACCCTGCCTGAGTTGTCAAATGTAGATTCTGGCCGGGTGTGGTGGCTTCCAGCACTTTGGGAGGCAGAGGCAGGAGGATTGCTTAAGGCCAGGAGTTCCAGACCAGCCTGGCCACATAGCGAGACCCCCATCTCTAGAAAAAATAAAAACAAGTAGCTGGGTGTAGGCTGGGCGCGGTGGCTCACGCCTGTAATCCCAGCACTTGGGGAGGCCGAGGTGGGCGGATCATGAAGTCAGGAGATGGAGACCATCCTGGCTAACACGGTGAAACACCGTCTGTACTAAAAACTACAAAATAATTAGCCGGGTGTGGTGGCAGGTGCCTGTAGTCCCAGCTACTTGGGAGGCTGAGGCAGGAGAATGGCGTAAACCCTGGAGGCAGACAGAGCTTGCAGTGAGCCGAGATCACGCCACTGCACTCCAGACTGGGAGAGAGAGCAAGACTCCGTAACCAAAAAAAAAAAAGGCTGGGGGCGGTGGCTCATGCCTGTGATCCCAACACTTTGGGAGTCCAAGATGGGTGGATCACTTGAGGTCAGGAGTTCAAGACCAGCCTGACCAATATGGCGAAACCCCAACTCTACTAAAACTACAAAAATTAGCCAGGCGTGGTGGTAGGCGCCTGTAATCTCAACTACTCGGGAGGCTGAGGCAGCAGAATCGCTTGAACCTGTGAGGTGGAGGTTGCAGTGAGCTGAGATCCCACCATTGCACTTCAGCCTGGGCAACAGAGCAAAACTCCATGTAAAAAAAAAAAATACCAACAAAAAAAAAAAGTCAGCCGGGTGTGATGGTGTGCGTCTGTAGTCCCAGCTACCTGGGACACTGAGGCAGAATTGCTTGAACCCGAGAGGCAGAGGTTGAAAAAAAGAAAACTGAGGGCAGAGAGCATACTTTTTGCTCAGTAAATACATGTTGCTTGGGAATGTTTCTACTAATGACATAGAGGCATGGCTGTGGCACTGCTAAGGCCTAGGATGTGTCTCCCCTAGGCTGATGCCCCCAACCCATCCCTCATCCCAGAGACTGATGCCGTGGGTGTGACCGTAGTCCTCATCACCTGTACCTACCACGGACAGGAGTTCATCCGAGTAGGCTACTATGTCAACAACGAGTACCTCAACCCCGAGCTGCGTGAGAACCCACCCATGAAGCCAGATTTCTCCCAGGTGGGTCCTGTTTCCACTTCCTGCTTCCCACAAGGCCATTCTTTATACTTGGGGGGGAGTTCAGCCATTCAAATTGGGAGTCAAGGTTACTTCTTAAGGTTTTCAAGTAATGTTCAGTTCTTACACTACTGAGTTAGAATAGGATAAAAAGGCCTTTGTTTCTCAAAGGCATGTCTTAGAGAATTAAGATTAGATAGGCCTGCCTGGGCAACATAACGAGACCCTGTCCCTACCCCCTCCCCACCTCAGAAAATGAGCCAGACATGGGTGGAGTACTCTACTCTGGATGCTGAGGTGGGAGGATCACTTGAGCCCAGGAGTTTGAGGCTGCAGTGAGCTCAGATCATGCCACTGCATTCTAGCCTGGCTAACAGAGACTGTCCCTTAAAAAAAAAAGATAGGTCCTGGGCCAGGTGCAGTGGCTCACACTTTGTAATCCCAGCACTTTAGGAGACCGAGGCTGTCGGATCACCTGAAGTCAGGAGTTCGAGACCAGCCTGGCCAACATGAAAGCCCGTCTCTACTAAAAATAAGAAAATGAGCCAGGCATGGTGCCATGCACCTGTAGTTCCAGCTACATAGGAGGCTGAGGCAGGAGAATGGCTTGAACCCGGAAGGTGGAGGTTGCAGTGAGACGAGATCACACCATTGCACTCCAGCCTGGGCAAAAAAAGCGAAACTCCGTCTCAAAAAACAAAAAGATAGGTCCTAGCCCTAAATCATAGTGCACAGGTGTTTTCTGGAGTTCCATATGTGGGTTGCTCTTGCTGGGCTTCAGATGGGTGATTGGGGGTGTCCTGGCTCTATGGGAGCAAGGAGAGGGCATGTCAACAAGGGTTGACGTTCCTCTTTCTGCCCCAGCTCCAGCGGAACATCTTGGCCTCGAACCCCCGGGTGACCCGCTTCCACATCAACTGGGACAACAACACGGACAGGCTGGAGGCCATAGAGACCCAGGACCCCTCCCTGGGCTGCAGCCTCCCACTCAACTGCACTCCTATCAAGGGCCTGGGCCTCCCTGGCTGCATCCCTGGCCTCCTCCCTGAGAACTCCATGGACTGCATCTAACTGCAGGAACCCAGTGTCCCAGCACACCAGGAGGGGCAACCAGGCCTCCCAGCAAGTCCTGCAGGGCCCATCTAGAGGACTTTGGGGGCCGTCAGCTGCATCCAGGTCTGTCAAACTCAGCCCCTAGGAAAGAACAGGCCTCGGGACTCCTCTAGTCCTGGCCAGAAGGATGATCTCGCTTTTCCTGTACAGGCCTATAAGAAGCAGGTACTTCAGTTCTAAATTCTTTCTGACTTGTGTTCTTTTCGTCTTCATAAATTCTACCTAAGGCCATTGTGCCACTGTGCACCCCTGAGTACCACTGACCCAAAGCTTTCCGACAGACCTCCCTGGCCTGCCTAGAGGCTTTCTTGGTCAGTGCCCGTCAAGGCTCTGGTCCTGCTGAGCCAAAGGTTCTGTCATTCCTTTCTCTTCCCGTACACTGAGCAGATCCACTCCAGCTTTCTGGTGTCACAGGCAGGAATCTTGGTTAGGTAGACTTAGATCCCATTTCTGTCCTGCTCCCAGGAAGATTCTTAGGTCCTCTTCAATCCAGCAGCCCCTGGAAAACTCTGCTCCCAGAGGTGTGATCAGCAGGATGCTGAGGAACCATGTTGCCTTTCCTGTCAATCACAGCCACCTTCCTGTTATCTCCTAAATGGATCTGGCTTTTTCTGGTTGGAAGATGGTGTCAGAGGGCCTGCCTGCGCAGTCTGTCTCTGGGTCGGGGTCAGGGACCCTCTGCTTCTGGCAGCCTTAATCTTCTCTCGGCTAGGACCAGGGTGATTTCAAGCCAGGGAAGCAACTGGGACCCTGAAAACCGTCCCTCCCCAGCCTGCTCTCCCTCTCTGTGCCCTGGTCCCCTTGCTGCCATGTGGATGCTGTTGTGATTGCTGTTTGTATATTATTAAAATGTTTTTATATTAAAAATGTTTGGTTGGTCTGAAAATTAAAAGCACTTCGTTTAGAATGATTGTTTGTGCTTTTGTCTTGTGTGGACTGAAGCAACTTTGTCCACTCTCCCCCAGAAGTGGTCTCTTGACCTGTCCAGTGGATGGGCTGTCCCATATCTTCTTCCCAGCTTCCTACTCCAGTCTTAATTGGTTCTACAGTATTCCAGACTGAGGTTCCAGAAGAGGTTTTTGTCAAAATTTAAGCAAACCAGCTGTCCTGCAGATAGATTATAATCAGTGATTTTTCAGACTGCCCTTGACCCACAGGAAGAAATTAACATCGTGATCCCAACACATAAACAGCAATGCTTTTATTAAATTTTACTAAACCTTAACCATGTAACCATCCAGAGGCCGAGTGGTCAGCCATTTTCGCATAATTCACAGAAAGGCTCTGACTCTCCCTCCCTGGAACCATGGTTGATCTGGGAACATGGGTGCAGACAGCAGCTGGAGAGGGCGTAGGCTGTTCAAGTCTAAGCAGCAGATCGGCTTGCAGTTGAGCCCAGCTAGCCCTTCCGTGTCGGGGTGACCTGACTTCTCCCCTCCCCTGACCCTCTCTTAAGTGCTTCTCAATCAGGAGCAGTTCGGCCCCGCAGAGCACATTCACCAATGTCAGGAGACAGCGGTTGCCAGAGCCAGCAGGAAAAGAGGAGGGGCTACTGGCATCCAGTGGGTACAGGCGGGGGATGTTGCTCAACACCCAGTGGTGCGCAAGACACCCCCCAGCAGAGAATGATCCAGCCCCACCGTCAGTAATGTCGCAGTTGGGAAACCTCGACTGTCCTCGGCTAAGTGTGTACTGAAAGAGGATCCCGAAGGAAGGGGCAGGTTCCCTTTGCATTGCCGACAGGAAATACAGACGGGGAATGGGAGCAGGGAATCTGCCTGGCTGTACCCCAGATTCCTCATCTGTGCAATGGGAGTGATGATGGTAGCACCTACGCGATGGGAGTGTGGTGCGAAGGAGCGTTAAGTGGGTGCCAGCTCTTACTACTGGCAGGAGCCCAGGGCTAGGACCCAGCAAAGGGGTGGACATTGAGCGCCCCTTCCCAG